GGGGGGGGGGGGGGCATACAGGAGGTAGCCAATCATCAATGACTCTTTCTGATCATTGATGTTTCTATCTCTCTCTCTCCCTCTCCCTTCCTGTGCCTGAAATCAATTAAAAAAAATTAAAAAAATTTTTTTTAAAGATGTATTTTATTGTCTACTCCCAAGACAACAGCAGTTTGCACTTTTCCAATAATTTCATCTTCCAGATGGGGTCCAAGCAGAAACATCCAAAAAGGGGGACTGACACCAAACGTCACATGTATGTCAGATGCATCCACGTGTCTCATCTAATCTGAGCCTCACAAAGTCCTGCAAGAGGACCCCCTATTTCAGAGGAGGAAACAGAGGCTCAGAGAGGTAAAGTGACTTGCCCAAGATCACACAGCTTCTAAGACAGGATGGGAACTCCGACTCAGGTTGGTCTGATTTCAACGCCTCTTTGCTTGATGCCGCTGGAGATGGCCTCTGAACCTCCTAGTCCTGCAGTAAGCCCCTGGTTGGTGGGTGTGTGTGTGTGTGTGTGTGTGTGTGTGTGTATATATATATATATAGAAGGCACCAGGTTTTCCTAGCTCTTCCTTAGACCCTCCTTGTTTGTGGTCCTGGTCCGAGTACAGTGCCAGGCAGGCCAGGCTCTGGTGAGACAGCCCTGCTCTGGGACCACAGGCAGTACCCTTGGCCCCAGCCAGAAAAGCAGAGGAGAAAGGGACTTCAACTCCTAAGACCTGGGCTCAAGTCCTCGCTCAGTCAGATGTGAACATTATCTTTTGGACCAGAGTTTCCTAGATAACAGCCCAGGTCTGGGTTGCAGGCTTGCTGTGAGGGTGGGTGAGGCTATGGCCCCAAAGAGTTCTGCAGTCACCCAAGGATCATGTGCAGGTGAGCGAGGCTGGGGTGCAGGACACCTGGGATCGCACCCCTGCTCTACCCCTAGCTCCCCGCGGGTGTTTGCACTCTTGTGTATAGCCTGTAGCAGTCGCTACAACAACAAACTATTTCTGAGGTCTCCTATTTTTATCTTTGAAAGTTAATGTGAATTTTGCATTCTGCTTCCTGTAGCTGTGTTTGCTTTAGTATAAAAATATAATTTGTCCTGTGTGAGGTCACTGAACAAATACCAGTTGGCATATGCCACAGGCTTGCTGTGTGACCTTGGGAAAGTCTCACAGGCTCTCTGGCCTGGGGCTGCCCATCTGTAAAACAGAAGGACATATGCCCACCTCATTGCTTTGGGGAGTTGAAAGTGATGGAAACCTTCATCTAACAGAAGTAAGCCACAGGGCCACGGATTGGGCCACAAAATAGAAAAGCCCAGGGGCAGTGCTAGCTTGAGGCACAGCAGGGCCCAGAGCTGAGGGTGTCCCCAGGACTCAGCTGCTCTCCTGAGGGTCCATCCTCAGCTCCATCCTCTCCAGTGGCCTGGAGCAGCACGTTCTCCCGTCCATGGGCACCAGATGGCCATAGGATCTCTGACCCAGGGTTTCTCAACTCAGCGCTGCTGACATTTGGGGTGACGATTCTTTGTTACCAGGGCCCTCCTCTGGCAGCATCCCTGGCCCCCACCCACTAGCTGCCAGTTCGCCCCCTCCTCTCTACCCCCAACTCATGACAGCCAGAAATGTCTCCATACATTGCCAAGTACACCCCCAGGGAGCAAAATCGCCCCTTCTCCCCTTTCTCCCGCTCCTGCTCTTGCAGCCTCACACCTCACCCTCAAACCTAGCAGGGCGGGAGAGCCTTTTGGGGTTCAGAAGCCCCGCAACTCTGATTGGACCTGCCTCACGTCACTTACCCACCTCTGAGCCAATTGTTGTGGTGGGGAAGGGGGTGCCACACGGTGATTGGCCAGGCCTGGAGCACAAGTCCCGCCCCCAAACCTAGGCCTGAGGCTCCACCCAGACCACATGTAGAAGGGATGGGGGGAGGGGTGGCACAGAAACTAAAACCCGGGTTCTAGAGAGGGGATGGGGGCAGGGAGGGAGAGAAAACAGCCACGGGAGCCCACTTCCCCGCCGGGGCTCGGCTCCCCATTTGTCGGACAAGGTAGTTTGTGGAGTTCTGAAC